ATCCATCACCTATTCAGGTCATTTCTCCTTGAAAACCACTTAATATGTAGGCCCGATATGATTTGTGCTCTAGAAACCCTTAAAACCTTATTCTTATTCCTTTTTAGCAATAAGACCTGCAAAAATATAAAAACATAAAAATGTAGTTAATCTATATATACAGATCAAATAATGAGCTTAACTGATACAATTAAGGGCGCTTAAATATGTAATATTTGACGCTTATCAGACCCCCAAACTTACATTTTGCTAGTCCTTTAGCAAAACAAAATTGAAACACAAAATTCTCTTCTTTCGTGAGAGTGACGATTGCATTTAGCATATGCAACAAACCTTTTAAACCCCTAAGTATCCCTAGAGGACGAGTGAAGTCTCGTGAGAGTTTACCAGAAATGATACCCACAAACACTAAGCACAAGGCTCATTCTAGTATATATTGAAACATATGATTTTGGGAAAAAACTTTATCATGAAGACTACAACAAGTACGCATACAATGATATCTCAAAACAGTATTCAATTCCCAGCATTCATACATCAACAGACTAGTCCACATACATGATCTTCAACATCTCATTTATAATAGAATTTCATCTCAAGTTCCTTAGAAGTGAACCAAAATTTTATTTTCTTTTAAAATGCACTTTTAACCCTTTTATGGCTCATACAATGTCTTCCACATCCTTAATTTATTTTTTTTTAATCATAATCCAAGGCATGAATTTATTTGAACACATTTTGTATTTTTTTTTTTTTTTTTTTTTTTTTTATGCATGACCATGTGCAATGTCAAAATTCTTTAAGCTCTCTAACCATCCCATGTGACAAACGTTGAGCCAACGACTCCCAAACCAAATGGTCTTAGGACATTAGCTGTAAAGACACTCTTAAGGGCGTAATGACTCGTAATGGTTAGGCTATGAACTCAAACTAATCATACATCTTACATTTTTTCCTTTTCTTCTTTTTTAATCAGTTGACGTGTTGAAAGAATGCAATTTTATCCATTTTTTTTTTTTTAATGCCAAGGATTATTTCATTCGTCCGACTCACTAATTCAGGGAGCCAATTAAGTATAACCACAAGGAAGGGAATGCAATTTTTGGTGTGCTCAATGTGCATTGTGAAGTCACTTAGAGATGAAAGACTCCAAAATAAAACATTTAAATCATGCAATGGACCTTTTTCAATTGAACAATCATGCTAGCAACTTTCAATCATTCCTTGATATCCTATATAAGCATACAAGTTGTATTAATCACATAGACCCTCCCCCAAACTTAGTTCCACTAACACCAAAAATCAATTGCCTAAACATATATATATATATATATATATATATATATATTTAACAAATCAACAAAATAATAAACTATATGTACACAATTCAACCATACTTAACAATGACAATACGCCTGTAAATAGTAATAAATAACAACTCTCAACGCCCCCAAACTTATATTATACATTGTCCTCAATGTATGAAAACGAGTATATAAAAATTTAATCAGGCAAGGAAGTGTAAAAAGGAGAGAAACTATCAAGTGCAAGGTTTGAATTTCAGTGCAACCATTCTTATTTAGAAAGCTAAACTTCTCTACCCCAAACTTGGACCGTATAATCTGTTCACAAAAACTGGGTACCAAGCATAAAAGCATAGACATATATAAAGATATAAATATGAAGTAATATGTTATGCTTTATTCAAAACCGGGAAAGAAATCAAAATTGTACACCTCAAAAAGTGACCCCACAATGGTCATGCCAAATGTGGCCCAAATCCTAAAATTATTCAAAACACACAAAGCAAAAATAAGTAGCATGAACAAAATAAAACTACAGAGCAACACAATGCTCAATCCTCCATAAAGGTGGAAGACGTTGGACCCAGATTGGCACCACCACGGTCGATAATTGATTGCATCATTGCCTGTAAAAACTGTTGTCCCTCTCTTATCTCCTTACGAATGTCGATAAGGGAGCCCTCCATGGTACCGACTTGCAGCTGAAGAGCGTCAAGCCTGGTGCTGAGAGAGTCATAATCTACTCTAGTAATGATAGGTGGCTGTGGACCGACAGGTGCAGGTTCAACATTCTCAACCTCCAAAGAAATATTCACATCACCCCAATAAAAGTTGTCACCAATGCGTAGTTGTCTACCCTTTTTCAATTAAGAGCGACTCTTCTTCCATTTAGTGAGATTGTACTGATACACATCCTCCAATTTTTCCTCATTCTGGCGCACCTTAAGTCCCTTCTTCTTTGATATTTTCATGATCAAATAAGAAAAGGGAAATGCCCAAGTCAAAGCATTATCCAGTTGCTTCACAATGAGGTTACGGTAAAGTTTCATAATTTGATCCCAAATTAGCTGTGAAACACAAAACCAATATCCTTTTTCTGCAGTATAAAGGGTAGTAAAAAAAATACCCTTCCATTCTGAATGCCTAGCAACCGGAAAGACGTTCTAAGTAAGGACAGAGTCTAAAAACCAAATCCAGCACGGAATATAGGACTTGTTAGTGCTCGTTGTGCGACAATGTGTAAAGTTGTTGTGACAAATTTCACGCACAATGTCCTTTAAAGTAATTGTGTCCAGACAAATGCCATAAATAGGCTCATCCTCATCATTCAACAGAAAAGTCATAGGAATGTCCCAAGCTGTGGCAATGTCATTGATTGTGAATGCGAAAGTCATGCCATCAATTGTTGTCTGTATCACGTCTGGCTCAGCGCAGGAGTGTGACATGTTGGCATAGAATTGCCAGACAATCCGCGGAAGGAAGACACGAGCACATGGCTTAAATAAAGCAACAAGACCACGATTTTTTAACTCTAGAACCAACCAAGCCGTTTCTGGATGGTCTTGAAATTCATGCTCAATTGTGAATTCGGTCTCATATTCAATGGGCCAGTAAGTCCAATACGGAGTAAGAGTGTCCTCAAAAGACCCCTCGGATGTGCGAGGGCGCTTAGAAGCGGAAGAAGAAGCCATGTGAGTGATTAAAGTTGGTTCAGGACGTTTGTCGAACACGTAATGTATAACACTGAAAAGTAAAGAACACTTGTGAAAATTAGATTATTTGAATCCAACAAGCATGAATCTAGAATTAAAGCAGAACAATTCCTCACTTAATAAACTAATCACCCACAAAATCAAGTTCTAATCTCTATGAAATATTCAAAAGTTGATATATACAAGAGAAAAGAACTTACCTTAATTTGGAGTTTGAAACTTTGCCCTCTGTGATTGAAAGATGATGATGGAAGAGGCTGATTAAAGATGATGAAAAACAGAGATGGAGAGAGTGAAATATGATTTTGAGATGGTATGGGAAGGTAGGGTTAGAAGTTAGGAGGTGTAGGTTGCGAATGAGAAATGAAGGAATGAAGTTTATAAAATCCCGAGCTGGGCTCGGGTTGGCTTCATGAGCTTTCGCGTCCGGACGCAAAACAAGGCGTCTGGACGCGGACTGTAGCGGAGCTCGCGATGAGGGATTTTTGCGCACTGGGGCTGATGATAGAATGGCATCCGGACGCGAGTAGTAGCAGGAGTTAGCGTCCGGAAACTGGTGGTGGCATCCAGATGCAAATGCTTCCAAGTGGTGGCGTCCAGACGCAATATTTGGCGTCCGGACGCGGAGTCTTCAGTAAGTGGCATCCGGACGCGAGATGTTCAATTGCTCTAATGAATTATTGATCAAAAACGCCCAAAAATGTTACCAAACCTTTGTATGACTGTAGAAACCCACTATGGCCACTTGAATGGACATGTAACTGATTCTTGAAGACTGCGAAGTGGAAATTCTATTCAGCCATTTGGAGAGAAATTTGGTTCATGGTAACAAGTATATAAGGAAGCTTAGAATGGAAAGAATTTGCTTCTTTGAAGTGCTAAATTTAATGTCGATAGCTAGACGAAATGGGAATCTTTCTAGTCCTCATAAATTAGATTCGTTAATATAATGGAATCTATATATCCGACCAGGACGAGGTTGTCAATGAAAGCTTAAGTCGCTAACCATTGACTTTAAAAAGATTCCCATTCTTTGGGTCTTGCAGCTCAACTGCACCATAGGAGAAGACAAAAGTGATTAGAAAAGGTCCTTCCCAGTGTGAACAAACCTTCCCTGGGAAGAGTTGCAATCGGGAATTAAAAAGCCAAACTTTTATCGCGACAAAAAAAATTGTCGCCATATCGCCGCTAGAAGCCGGTCACAATATGTTTTTCGTGACAAAATTTGATTTATAGCTAGAGGTATGATATATTGTGACAAATTACTTTTCGTCACAAAATGGGTAAAAATTGCGACAAAACATTTGTCGTAAAATATTCAAAAATTGTCGCCTTATACCCTCCAAGACTTATGAAATTTGTCACTATTCATCACTATTTTGTGACGAAAAGAATTTTGTCACTATTTGTGTACTCTTTTTGTGACAAAAATTATCGCTATAAGCTGCTTTATTGTGACAAAATGTTTGATCGCAATATATATATCATGTTGCGACAAAACTATTGTCATTATAAGTTGTTTTATTGTGACAAAATATTTTGTCACAATATATATACCATGTTGCGACAAAAATATTGTCGTTATAAGTTACTTTATTGTGACAAAATATTTTGTCACAATAAACATACCATGTTGCGACAAAAATATTGTCCCTGTAAGCTATTTTATTGTGACAAAGGATTTTGTCACAATATATGTGCCAAGTTGTGACAAAAGTATTATCACTATAAGTTATTTTATTGTGACAAAATCTCTTGTCACAATATATTTACCATGTTACGACAAAATTATTATCACTACAAGCTATTTTCTTACGACAAATAACATGTCATGCAACAAATATAATAATATAATTTTGTTTTCACCTATTTAAAACATAAAATTTGGAACCTCTAACTTAAATTAAAATATTGATTAACTAAACAATCTAAACTAAAATCCAAACATCTCACTCAAAATTAATATATTTGATAATCAATCATAGAATATAAAACACATTCCATTAAGAATTTAGATATTAAAATGTGCAAATCATCCAAAATTAAAATGATAATTCCAGCACATATCAAAATGCTAATATCCAAATCCAATATTACACAACTAATCATATTCACATATCAAAATTTCAAAAAAAAATCTAAGATCCGAATCCAAAAGGGGAGCCAGATTGCAATCAATGTGAAACCTGCAAAATAAATAAGAAGAAAAAAAAAAATGAGATTATAATTTCACAACTGAAATAAATTTTTTTAAAAGTATTTTTAAAAAAATTGATATCTAGGTGAAAACAAGATATTCCTTCGGAATTAAGTGACTTAAACTTTTCTTATTATATCAAGCAATTTACACGCACACAAAACTTAGTATAATGTATTCAATTTGATAACATATAGACAAATGAAAAGTTGAACAACGAGACTGTATAGTGTGTGTGTATAAGAAATTTTGGCTACCAAATTTATTGCTAATGCGTATTCTGTGCAAAATTAACTGCTATGCAAGTCAATAATGCAGGAATTAGAGTTATTATAAGGGAAAATTACATATAAATGGAGTCAAAGTTTCATATTTACTTAGAGACTGAGTCAAAGTTCCATATTTCTCTAAAATGGATTGCTGAGGTGGCACATGATTTTTTACTGTTTAAAAAATTGTGGTGCCTAAAATGCCCTTCCCTAATAAAAAAGTAGTACCTTCAGTTCAAAAAAGTAGTACCTTCAGTTCAAAAAAGTAGTACCTTCGGAGAAAAAGTAGTACCTTCGCGAGTGTTTAAAAAACATGATACCTGGACGCCAAAAAGTAGTACCTTCAGTTCAAAAAAGTAGTACCTTCGAAGAAAAAGTAGTACCTTCGCGGAAGGGTATTTTAGGCATCACAATTTCTAAACAGTAAAAAACCATGTGCCACCTCAGCAATCCATTTTAGAGAAATATGGAACTTTGACTCAACCTCTAAGTAAATATGGAACTTTAACTCTATTTATATGTAATTTTCCCTTATTATAATCTGTTTTAGAATTATTATGAAGCATTTAGAATCTTTATAGAAGAAGAGGGAATAGTAAGTATTGCAACTTTCTGTTATCGTCGAAAATTATCATATATCTATCCTATATATTGGTAACAAAATCTTGTGTTAAAAAAAAAAAAAAAGTAAATTCAAGGGTATTTTAAGTAAACTTTTGCTACATTAATCGATGCAACATAAGAAGATTCAAGTTTAAGGCAATAAATTTATGAATATATATCAATCGAAGAAATCTAGAATGATACAAATGCAAATTACTGATTCACTCATGGACTCTTTGGCATAGAAGTTGGTTTGTGTGGTCTAGAGTTCGAGGATTGGTGGTGAGAGAACTAAGCAAAGAAGAAACGGATGCAAATTTTCCAGAATTATGCAACAAATGCATTGCTGTCTAATTAATTGAAAATTGATATATCACAATTCAATATTTCCTTAATACAAGCTATTAACTTATAATCAATTAATATACAAGCGATCTTATATGGCTATCACGTGTCATGAGTGACGAGAAAAAATAATCCACAAAGTTATAAGCTACTTAGCAGATCAAAACCCAGATCAGTTCCAATCAATTAGCTTAAGCATTGCATGATAAGAAAAAAAATTATTTGAGGTAAGACAAGAAAAAAAGGATATCATAGATAAACCTCAACTCACCACTAATTAAACAACACAAGCTATACTTGAATAACCAACACATGTGAGATTAATGTACGGTATGAAACTTAATGAATGATCAAGGTCCCACGTTTTAAATACATGGCATCATACAAGTCTATTATATATACTAAAATTTTAATGGCAACTATACCTACTTCCATGCTTGTCTCATTATTGTTCCCTCAAATGCATGGAATACCACCTCATTAATTGTGTAGACACCCTGTTTTGCACCATTTTTTAAAAATATTTTTAAATATTCTTGTTTGTTTTCTAAAAAAAAAATGAGAAAAAAGAAAATAATTAAAATAAAGCAAAAAGAACCACAAATGGCAACTATACCCACTTCCATGCTTGTCTCATTCTTTTTCTCTCTATCTCTGCACCTCTCCATTTCTCCCGTGATCCCACCGATCAAGCCTCTCTATTCCTCTTATCATGTTGAAACTGACAACAATTCAATACGACTATAAATTAAAACTTTTTGCAAATTTTTGAATCTTATATTTGTTTTTTTCATTAGTTTAGTATTCTCGTGGATAATTGTCTGCTAAAAGAATGTCAAGCCCAATTTAGGAACAAACTTTAGCTAGTAACCAATAACTAAAAAACAATGATCAAGGTGTCCAGTTTAAACAGTTTCAACTACCACAGTTATGTCTCAGGCAATAAATATGTAATATAAATTATATTAGGTAAGTGGTCCTAGAAATTTCTTTAGAATCTTTTAGTGAATTAAATTTGAAGCCATCTTAGAAAGACTAAAAAAAGTGATAGATGGTTGGTTCACTATAAGAAGCTGAACATAAACAAGGTTAACAAGCACATAAGTGACATTTGAAAAACGTTACAAATGCCACAAGTGAAAACTCAAACTAACTAACCTCATCTGGATGCACAATTGCATAATTATACTGCTCCCTTGTAGCTTCATCTTTCAAAATCTGCAACGCTCAATTTAAGCAACTTAAAACAACACTCTTATTTTATAAGCTTTGGACTAAGATAATAAGCATCACCAAGGTTGAGTTTGAAATTGCATAATTAAGTCAATAAAATAAAAATAAAGAAGAAGAAGAAGAAGAAAAAGATAATATGTAGAGAGTAAAAGGCTCTCATTGTGTGTGTAAACAATTAGTGCACAACCCACTTGAAATTGTTATAGATTCAATGAACAATGCTAAAGAGAAAGAAAAATAATTAATTTTGATCTGGAAAATTCAAATCACAGAAGCTGCTGAACTAATTCAATTAAGAAGTAGTAATGCCTCATAAGCATTTACAACTTTCATAAACAACTTCTGCGATTCTAGATCGGAATTTTTATTCTGGTGACTAACTAAAAATAACAAAGATAAAATATAAGCAATCAAAATGAAAAATAAATTGAGGCAATAGCATTACAATATAAACAAGCATACATATAAACATATATATACATAGCAACTTACTATTTAAATGAGACTTAAGGTCTAGGAAAAAGAAAAGAAAAAACATATATATATATATTCCAAACAAATTTGTATAATTAATGATTTTAGACTATAAAGTCTACAAGTCATTTGAGTGGTTCAGTTGAATTTAAAATTATTAGATTGATCAACTTGATGAAAATGAGATTTTACTCCTCGTCTCAACAAATATATATATATATATATATATATATATATATATATATATATATATATATTATTTTTTTAACTATTTAAAAATAAAAGTCAAATTATTACATCATTTTTTATAACATTATTATTTTAACTTTCCTACATTGAATTTATAAAAAGTAAATCATCACTGGTAAAACTTTATCTTGTGTATACACTATAAATCACATATGTATATATATATATATATATATATATATATATATATATATAATTACTGTGATACCATTGCAAAATCAATGCTCTATAAAATACCCTTTGATCTGGAGGACAATACCCAACACTTTCTTGCTCTATAAAATATATCATTTCTTTTCTATCTAGACAGGGATTGCCTATCTATCTCTACAAATTCATCTCTTTTTCTAAAAACCAGTAGCACACATTGAAACACCTTAATTTATAAACCAGAAGCACACATTTAGAATATGTGATATCAAATATAGCTTAGTTATTGACATCTCTTAATTAAAATGATTAAAATACTCACTACTGGCATTCCAAAATATAAACCATATTCTTTTGTTCGGTATTCTTATTTGTTATCATATCCTTGTTTATGCATCCTACTCATATCTTGGAACCCACGTCAATGTACTGCATCTCACAAAATATTTTAAGCAAAAAGGAGAAAATAAAGGTCTATGATTATATACTTGAAACCTTCTGCAAATTGATACAAAGACCTTGTGATAATGTCAAAGTTGATAATCCAGTTTTCGCACTATACTTGTCGAATATCAACTGGTTCAACATACAAAATTATGGATAAGGAATTAAATAATTTTTAAAATATAGTTTAGTGCAAACATTTAGAGGGCCTGTGTGGGTTGGCTAAATGTAAAGAGAGAAAAAAATAAAAGGAAAAAAGTGAAACAATCTGGAAAATGAGAATAACACAATCCTGAATATAGACCCAACTTAATCTATTTGATTGATGGTATTTAGGTAAATACTAACTCATTTAACCAAAAGTTCTTATACACAATGAGGTTGCAGATGAGTTGCTTATTCTAAAATAAACATTGATCATGAATGTAAACCAAACTTAAAATGCGATCAATGAAAACCAAACTCCATCTACAACAATATCCCAACCTCCGATCCATTTATGCACAATAATAAAAATAAATAAATAAATGATCACTTAAGGCACGTGACCCCCTATACACCGCAAAATTGGTCACTTAAAGGCACGTGACCCCCTCAAGCATGAGTAAAAAACATTAAAAATGTGCAATCATAAAGCATTCTCCTTCTCTCCATAATTCACAAAAAGTAACATAATTTTATACTATAATTCACAAAAAATAAAAAGTAACGTAATTTTACACATTATAAAACTGTTATCTTATGGCTGCATTGAGGAAACTTCTTACCACCCAATTTCTCACTATGGAATAAGATATCACTATGCCACAAAGTATTTGATTTTTAAAAATATGAGTAAAGTGTGTGTGTGTGTGTGTGTGTGTGTGTATATACACATACATAGAGAGAGATGTTAGAACTCTAGAAAGTGGGTCAGGATAAGCATAAAGCTGAAAAACGAGGAAACATCTACTTCCACCAAAGTTTATGATAATTGAAAAAGAGGACAACAAAGGGTAGGTGATGGCCTTGCTTTCCACAATTCAAATATCTCTTTAGTTTAATATATGGTATCTTTTGTAGTTGAATTCAAAAATTAGAAGATAAAATAAAACAGATGATGGTGCACGAATGAAGTTATTAGAAATTACTTTCAAAAGTTAAAACGTACGCGATAATATGACGGATAATAAAAAGAGATCCAAAATTCCCTTAACTTGTAGGTTTTGTAGACAATCTTCCTTTAATTTTTTTTTTCTACTAAAGGGGTTGTTTTTTGATTTGTTGTTAAAAATATCCCCTGAATTGCATAAAACACTCTTGACTTGGTAGAAGTATTTTAGTAAAATAAAACACTTTGTTAGATGGAATTTTTTGATAAACAAAAAATAAAAATAAAAAGAAATTTATTGCAAAACGCTATGAGTCTAACACAGAGTTTAATACAATTCATCCTAAAAATAAATTAGTGTAATGCTAATGTTGATTTTTGCTCTAACGTATGAGTTTGTAACTTGTTGTATTACTAGGTTGTTAGAGCTATAAACCAGATCATCTGTGATGTGGCCCAGTGCTTTTCTCTCATCCCATACAAACCTAAGTAGGTTTTCTAGTGTAGTACTGTCACACATATGTACTTAATTCTTCATATTGGATTGTCACACATATACATATAAAAAGAAGTTTTACTTTATATACATTTAGCAAGAGGAGGTTCACTTTTTCTACTAGTGATCGCTTTGGAGTTTGAGAAGCTTACCCCACAATGAAGTGGATTCTACTAAAAAAATTCAGTCTTTTATTTTAAATTTATTTATTTATTTATTTTTTTTTTTTTTTTTTGGTATGGCAAAAAACAAAATAATATATATATATTAACAAATTAAGAGATCAAAGAAATTTTCACACTTTGAACAGCAAACAAATGAGTGTTTTTAGACTGTTCTGTCTTTATACTTTTCTTTTGTTGATTTGCCTATTGTCTTTAAATAGATTTTTTCCATTATTCATTTTTTGGTTTCATCGGATGCAAGGGTCCAGCAGTGGAAATCTTTTTTAAAAAAAAATTAAGCTGCCGATTTTGGTAATTAACATTCTGGATGAATAAAGAAAATTCAAGATATCTGATCATGTATAGAAAGTATATTTCTAAGCTTTAGTGGATTATAACTTCCTAGAAAATATTAAGAGGTCAACCTGCTATGGTGCTAGGGATGGAGAAGTTGATCTTAGTTTTGATAGTTTAGATTCTAGTTTGTATAGTTTTGCCTGGTTTGGGTATCATTCTCATTAAACTAGGGGGTAAACCCTCCTTAAATCCCAAAAAAAATTATTAGTAGTGGCATAAGTAGTAAAAGCCACAACAACAGCAACAGAACAAACATTGCTGGAATTTAACAAATCAGACCCTTTTTTTTATGTAAAATTTCAGACCCATTAAAGAAGTGCATGAACGGAAAGTCAAGGAAAAAGCAAATCACATGTTTTTATGTACCTGTCTCTGCAGAAATTCCCTCTTCAGTGGCTTTCCTCTTATTTTCTCTGTCATTTGTGATTAATAAGACCCGTGTTGCACCACCAAGATGATTATGATACCACTGAGTTGCCACTCGAATTGCTGAACTTCCAATTCATCAATGTCAAAAGAAGGAAATCTACAATTGCATGTTCTTACACTAAAAACAGGAATAAGTACCACAATTACAGTAAAGTGTGCTTAAAAAAATGGTTCATACTTTCAATATATATAGTATTCCTGTTATACTCCCACCATGCTGTAAGATATCCCCATATATGATTACAATTACAAGACAACGCAAACATACGCAAAGCGAAATAAGACACCATATGCTCCCCATTTTTAGATAAAACAACTGAACACCATTTAAAAGTATCTTTTAAGACATCATTACACTAGCATTGTTTATAAAATGCAATCATCTGAAGTAACTGTTATAAATTCCAAATTTTCTGCAAAAAATTGTACTGTCATCTTAGATATCTTGACAATTAATTGCAACATGAACAGGTGATTTTATAGTGTATATGATAAAAGCAAAAAACTGCTCCATGGCTTAGCATTATTAAGACCCTGTAGTCCTTGTAATAATAACTACCAATGAATCAAAATCTGGAATATATTGTTATTGTGATAATCCAGATGGCTAACCTCTATCGTTCCGATCATTTAGACTTTCACCAACCATTGCCTTCACATATGTATCCCTTCAGAAAAAAGGTAAATCGATAAATAAAATAAATATTGTCAAGTACCATATAATAAGTCATAAAACATAATCAATTACGAAAAATAAAGCAACAAAAACCAACAACAAACAACAATTTGAAAGTTGAGAACGCACACATAGTACATAAGATTGGAGGGTGCATATATAAATGAATCAAGCCAAGAGCATATTGCCAGCGGTAAACTAGCCATCAAAAGCAAAAGCACGTTTAAAAAAACATCCAGTTTACATAGTATTCTAAATACGGACATATTGTATAAAAACTAACATTAATTAAAATTACCTTTTGAAAAAAATATTTAATTAAAATTGTAAAAGAACTTCCATGTGTATCTTCATTTTTGGACCCAAACTATCGTTTGACTTGTCTTAAATATAACAAGACTACCTAAAGGACCATTGCTTCCTTAAATTGTTGAAAAGAAATTGAAAGAATTCAAACATCGTGATGAAAATGATGAAAACTAAGAGATGACTCACCTGTGATGTTCGTTAACGAAAATAAAGAACTTCCTCGAAGAATTGCTGCACAGGGCTCTAACTTTGTTATAAACCAAAAGATTCTTGTTCTTGACCTCTTGCAGCACAACCGATAACACAACAACATCGTCAATTGCCGGATTCTCAAGTAAATCAATCTGAGAACACGGACAGTGAAAACCAAACCAAAGTTCTAGTTATACATATATATGTGTATATATATATATAATTGGTGCAATGTAAAACAAGAACTTGTGAAATGACCTAATTGAGAACAACATTGGTTCTGTATATAGTAGATGTAAACAAACTAATGTTAATTCGTTCAATCTATTTACACACATACATATACATATATGTGTACGAATATGTGTGTTTCAGTGTGTGCGAATATATGTGTTTTAGTGTGTGCTAATATATGTGTGAAAAAGGAAGCAAAAGGAAGGAATTGAACAGAGAGAAGTTAGGCTTTGCTTACCGATCAGACAAAGGATCGCTTCTTTATAGGAATTGTTGTCTCTGGATTTAGGGTTTATTTATGAGCCGTGTGTTATCATTTAGGGCTTGGGTCCCTTCTATGGTGACCGAAGACAGAGACGACGATGTTGACCGGAGACAGAGACGACGATGGAAAGTGTTCGTGTTTGTGTGAAGCTGTGTTTGTGTTGATTTTTTATTTATTTTTTTTATTTTCGTCAATTACTAGTTGGAATAATTCACGCCTGTGGAGGGGGGAAAATTTTCACTTTCTACTTTGTGTTACTGAAAGATACTTTTTTGTATTTTTTTTTATTTTTTTTTATTTTCATCAATTACTGGCGGGAATAATTCCCACCTATGGAGGGGTAAAAATTTTCACCAACCGTGATAGAATATAATTTCTATTACGGTTCCAAATGGTTCATGTAAAATCATGGTCGAAAGTAATCTTTTAATCTTGATTTTAAAGGGACCGTGGTAGAAAGGGTGTTCTATCACGCAAGGTCGGCCCTGAGATCTCCAAAATTTTGAGAGGTCTTAGGCGAATTTTCAAATATGAGACCCTTTATTAAGTTTCACACGCACGCACAAACAAATTATAAGAATGAGAAATTTTTATTAAAATAAGACAATAAACACATAAAATATATTAATATTGAAAACACACAAAACAAAACCTGGTCTTGGTATTTTATAAAAAACACAATCCAATTTATATCAAAATAACTAAAAGAAATATTCAAAACAACTTAGTCAGAAAAATCAAAATCCAACTTCATATCAAAGTAAATGTGAATGTCTTATATTTTGAACTACAAAATTATCAATTAAAGTATTCCGATTAAATTTCTCCAACATATATTTTTTAATAGATATCATAACCAATCCATTCAATCTCTCTTATGACATCATTAATCATAGGTAAGATTTGATCAACTTTAACTTTGAAAAACTTCTCCTAGCAGAAGCAACTGTAATTGGGATAGTCAATAATACTCTATATGCAATCCAAACATTAAAAAAATAATTACTTAACCTTTTTATAAAATCAAATACTTTAATTGCCTTTTTTTGTTCCTCTCAGTAAAATTTCTCTTAAGACTTGTAACTCTAAAAATAATTTTGTCTCGTCAATATCAGAACCCATTTCATATTAATGTCTAGTTGATGTAATTTATCAAAAATTAACAGAAAATAAGTTACAAATTGATCGAGTGAAAGATCAGGAACGATGAATGTCTGAAATGGAAAGTCACCAACTCCGAAGGGAGGTCAGGGGTTCAAGTCTCAAAAGAGATATGTGTGTGTGAATATTAACTAGGAAAAAAAAAATAGAAAGTCAATCTATCTATATATGTGTTAATATTCTAAAAATTAGGAGAATCTTCTAATCCAAACATGGCTAATGATAATGATAATGATCCATTAAGGGCAGTTGCTCTACCTGTACCTGGGTAGGTAGGGTGGCCCAAGCTGCAACGAGGATGTTGCGAGTTTGGGTAGGGGAGAATGCAACAAGGGTCATTTATTGTGATACTCCCTAATTTCGGAACACGGGTTGATCAAATCCGTATACAAAATTAAGGGATATCAAAACAATTAAAGTATTTAAACAAGCATAGATTATAAAATGAAATAAATAATAAATAATACGCTGAAGAAAACTAATAAATAATAAATCCATTAATAACTCTCTAATGGTTACAACTCGAGAATCTCGTAACTCAACGACCCCTTAACCAAAAGTCATTATTCAGAATTTCAGAAATAAATACTAATGTCAAATAAAGAAATAATATCCTACTTTGAAATAAATCGAAAGAATAGATAAAAATAAAGTGGGTCAAATATATATATACTCCTATATTATACAATATATATATATATATATGTATAATACCTTCAATAATAATCCTTGATTATTTAAAATCATATATACATATATATTAATGAATATATATATATATACACACACATATATTTCCTTCCATCCTAAACATAAATTAATTAAATCATATATACACATATATAATTAAGTATATATATAACTCCTTCCATCACTAAACTATTAATTAATGATATTTATGCAAATTAAATGTTACTAAATATCGTCATAAATGGTTTCCCATAAATACTCCATGATAAGTGCTTAAATGTTGCACATTTCAGCACCTAAATTAGGGTATTTTAGTCATTGCATCTATCTTATTTTCATGTTTTAGTTCTAATTTATGTTTTTGTCAATTTTAGGTCAATAAGGTTCAAAGGGACTAATTTTGGTTCACTAAAGCCTTTTTGAAGTCAAGTAAAGACATTTAGAAAAAGTTCAGAAAATAGCAAAAAGAGGTCACAGCCCATTGCTCGTATAGTGTGTTTATTCTTCAAAAGCGGTTAATCTCGGGCCTTTGATGATGTTCCCAAAGATGAAGAAGCAAACCAATTAGCCCGGGGCCAAAATGGAGCTAAATAAGGTTTGAAGGAAATTTTCAATTCTGGGGGATCGATCCCCCACTATTCGCAGAACTAAAAATGCCCTTGGTGGATCGATCCCCAAGGCTGTGGGATCAATCCCCCAGCCCCTGGCAGCATTATGGGATTTTGTCTTTTGGACTTATTTTTGTAACTTATGAGCTTTAATAGGGTTTGTTACTTAAGGCCCAGTGAGCCATTAGTTTAGGGTTAGTTTTTCATTATTTTAATTAGGTGAATATTATTATTTGGATTATTAAGTTTTATTTTTTAGTCTGTATCGATATATTCTCTCTAGAGAACGAGAGGAGGGTGAGAAGAGAGGGAAAAGTGGAGGCACAAGGTTTGGGAAGAACATCTACACACTCATCTCTCTAGAGCTTCAAGGAAGAAGAAGAAGGAGCAAAGCATGGAGGAGGATCTTGTTGACACCTTAACCACCACAACTATGATGGGCTAGATCTCCACTTAGGGCTTGGTTGAGCCCTAAGTTTATGTATTTCTAAACCCTTGTATTTCTATTTTTGGATAGATTAATATATTATTGTAGTTGATGTTATAGCCTTGTGATTCCTATTTACATGCTTGATTTGACAAATCATGGCTTATGTTGGTTTAATTCTTCCATTAACTCTATATGTTAATTATATGTCTATGTATAATTAATCTAAGGTTATGCTCTTGATTAGATGTTAAAGATTAATTCTTTCATTAATTCTCTATGTAATTGCATGTCTATGTGTGATTAGAGGATTATACTCAACACTTGATTCCATTGTTATTTGGGTTTAGTGATGGCCATGGCATGGGTTTTATTGGATGGAATTGCTGATTAATTTGATGGGTTATACTTTATCTTGATGGGTTGTGCTACAAATTAGTTTACTTGTCAGTAGGTAGACAATTCATTGCTTGAATTGATAATCCACACTTATTATATGCAAATTCTATTATCCTCTTAATTAATGTATGTTCTCATTAGATGCAATTATAGGTAGTTTGATGGAGTATTCTTAGGCTTGATGGGTTGTTCTACACCCTAGTTTACATGTCATTAAGTAGACAATTCATACTTACATTTGATAATTCATGCATCTTTGGTTGTAATTTGTTTTAGTGATTGAAGCTACATTTAAGTTGCAATAATGTTCTCCCTATTAATGAAAAACAAGTGGTTAATTGCATGAGCTTAGTGGTGATTCCAATAAACCCTAAGAATTCTCTTTATCTCTTAAACCCTTAACTCCAACTTAGTTTATTTTCATTGCATTTTAATTTAATTGTTCACTAGCTTAATCAACGAACCATCTCTTTTATTCTCTCTCTCTCTCTCTCTCTCTTATGGTAATCACTTGTTAAAACCAATTGTCTTATTTAAATCCAAGCCAAAGGTCTCTTGGGTTCGATCCCTACTCACTATATACTTTATTATAGTAGTAGTGGTTTTTATAAATTTAAATTTGACTCTTTGATAATTCTTTGAAAAAGGCTTTTCCTAAACCACACATTAAAACATTTCATTTTGATTAAAGGAAAAATGACCTCCACAAAGGGGATTGATCAAATTTTGGCGCCGTTGCCGGGGATCTAACGGTTTTTAAAAGAATTGAATTAGACATTAGTTCTTTGTTGATTGTTTACTTTAAAGTCATTTTTATTTTTATTTTCTCACTTGATATTTGTCAATTAGGTACTTGAAGCAAAGTAGAGCAAATGTTGGACCTTGAAGCAATTAAAAAAATTTTGAAGTTGCTTAAGGACCATTTGTAAGTTTCTCTTTAATTTTTTGCTTAATTGTTTACTGTCTTGCATGCTTTGGACAGCCTAAGTGGAGGCTTAATTTGAATTTTTTTATTTTTAAGTCCAAGCATACCTTCTTGTAGAAGACATCGGCCCATGTGGAGGCATTTAATTGTTTTAAGTGCATTGATATTATTGAGGAGTTTGGGAACATCGTATGTGGATGTTGAAATTTTGAAATGTTGGTGTGTTGACTTGTTCTAGTGCATGCATGGTCTTAGATCACTTAATCGTCCTCTTGCTCCTGTAAATCAAAATCTCGAAGTTTTTCTTTGGCTTTTAAGAAGTAGTACTAGGGATAGTCATCTTAATCTTTCAAATATTGATCTTCCATCACCTTTAATGGAAGACCCAATAGATCCAATTGAAGATCTCATTGTAGATCTTGGTCATGTGGATCATAATGGTATGCACCACCCACCACAAGTTCATATTGTGGATCCTCAAGGTGTGCATCCAACCTTGGGAATGCCACGACCAATCAATCTTGCTGTGCAACAACCTAATCTAGGGATGCTAAGGCCAAATGTTGTTCCCCCAATTGGTGAGTGTGGAGGGAAAAAATCCCCTCCAATAAGATTAGTCCACGTCATCACGGAGGCAGGTCTGTCTTCCAAAAGGCCCATCATGCTCAAGCCCAAAGTGAATGTACTCCTAGCCCAAGATCACTGTTATTGGCTCTCTTACCTTTATCTGGGCCAAATCAAGAAAGTGTTAGCCCGATCTACTCATTTCAAACATTCGGCCCATTATTCAAGCCCATCCGATTAATGCTATAGCCAGCCCAGTTATTCAAGAATGAACGAATCCTGCTTGTTGAAGGATTAACCATAAAAGGAGAACTTTGCAATAGAAAGTTCTACACAAAGTAAGTTAAGTGGATGGAAAATTCAACAATGGAAAGAACTCTAATTGTAAAGAATGTCTACATAGAAAGAATTGGAGGA